TGATATACAATTAATAAAGTGGTCATGCAAGCCATATGGAATATTCATTTTCCGTCTCTGATGTCTATTAGGTACATCACACTGTACCTCATATTAAGCAGAAACTCCATAGTGATCACTAACTAAGTGATTTACCAACGAACATTCCATCCTATCTTGCACAAGGTTTCTACCCATTTCATAATCAAGTCTGCCTCCCGGAGTTGTCGCACGGCAGCCGTGGAGTGAGGACGTTTCCCGACCCTCCGTGGCTGTTGGAGTTGTTTGCTGTTTTGGTCGCCAGGTGGTGTGGGCGTCCCTGCCCTACCAGTTTTGTTGCCTGCCTGGCTGCGTTGACGTGGCAGATCTGACATGGGGGGCCATCTTCCTCATATTCAGCGTGTGAACTCCGTGGGCCTGGAGTTCACTTGTAAGGCTGGTTATCCGACCATCGAGATGGTGATGTGTGACATGCTTCGTGTCCTGGTTGAAGCTGTTTACGGTGTGGAGCTAGTTACGGCCCATCAGGTTGTTATTAAGTTCGTGGGGGAGGACGAGTACCGGGACTTCCTCCGTCGGTACGGAGGGCGTACGTTGCCGTTGCCAGACGATGCCGGCTCTGTGGCGATTTCGGACCGCAGTGGTGCCCTGACTTATGTCAGTATCCATGGTGCGCCCCTGGAATTCCCTGATGACCTCCTCCGGCGTTACTTCGGGGGTTTTGGTACTGTTGTCAGCGTGCGGGTGAACACGCTCTCCTCGGGGCGGTATGCTGGGAGGGGTACAAACATTCGCACGTTGGCGATGCGCCTGCGGTCGGATATACCTTCTTCTGTCCGGCTTATGGGGTACTACGTCCGGGTGTATGATGCCCGGCAGCCTCATACCTATTTCCGGTGTGGCCTGTTGGGGCATCAGGCTGCCGGGTGCTCTGAGGCCCCTGCTGCTCCTGTCAACTTGTTCCGCGACGAGGATTTCCCGCCGCTCCCTCTGGAGGCAGTCTCCGGTGATGTTGATGAGGTGGTGCGCGTCCCGTTTGCTGCTGCAGCTTCCCCGGCGGCGCCTGCCATTCCTCCGGTTGTTGCCGTCCCTCCTCCGGTTCTTGAGGTACCGTCGGTTGGTCTGCCTGATCCTGTCGCTGTTCCAGCTGCTCCCGTGGGCCTTCCTGGAGCCCCCTGTGTGACGTTACTGTCTTCTCCCTCGTCTTCTGATGCTGCGCCTGGCCCTGTGTCCGTGACTCGGGTCCCGGATGTGCTTGGTGCTGGTGTGGCTGCGAAGCCTCCTGCTGTGTGTGGCCCGGTTCCCCCTGTGATAGAGGCTGCTGCCGTCCTGGCGTCGGTTCCTTCGGCTCGTGGTACCCGTGTTTCTGGGTCACTTACCGGCTCGGACGATATCCGGCCGGTGCCCAAACGTTCCCGGCGTTCGTCTTCTTCCTGGGCCGACGTAGGTCACTTCAGTGACTGTGGGGCTTCGGGTGTTGACAGTGTGGATACTGATGCGTCGATGTCTCCGCGGTTCGTGGTGGCGGAGGTCCATGTGCCTGCTGGTGCCTGTGTCTCGGACGTGCCTTCGGGTCTTTCTCCGCCGGGGGACTCTCCGCAGTGGGGGGTGGTGGCTTCCGCTGCCAGGGATGGTGTGGACTCTGGTGCTGGGCGTGGCCTGGTGGTGACGTTATGGAAGGATGCGCGCCGTCCGGGTTCCCTGCTGTCGTCTGGTGGTGTGCCCGGGGCCAGTGGTACCCCTGTGGTGTGGGTGCGCGTTGGGGCCCTGGGGGACGTGTTGCCGGCGTCTGTGATGCCACCGGGTCACTGGTCGAAGATTGCCGAGTTACTGCTGTCTGACGGACCGGAGTGCTTTCGTGGGGGGCAAGTTCCCTTCCTGTGGGGGCGAGTGGCGACTTCTCGCCTCATGAGTACTACCATCTGGGTCCCCAGTTTGCAGGTGTTTGTTGCCCCGGTTCCGGATGTTATGGAGTCCCCGGTGGATGGACGAGACCCTTGGCAATGGGTGCTCTGGGAGGCGTTCAATGTAAGATTCCCGCGGGACAAGTTCCCGGGCAAGTATGTGCTCTGATTTCTTGTGTATTTGCTCTATGACACGCTGTGTGCCCTTCTGGCTGTTTGTTTGCCCTGTTCTATTATGTGCTTCTGCCTCTCCCTTTGTGCGTAGCTTTGTCGTGTGGCATATTAGTTTCTAGTGCTTGGCGTCACTCGTTTCGCGTTTTGGCTTGGCATTTCGCCTTTCATGGCTTTGCAATTCACCCTTCACGGGTACGCCGGGGCGCATCCGATCCCACGATCGTCGTCGCCCCTAACTCAACAACAACAACAACAAGTCTGCCTCCCAATAAATAAATTTGGGTATCCATAGTATACACGGTTAATCTGTTGTCATAAACATATTTGATAAACTTGCATCCATTATCGTTGTTAGTACTGTCTACCAGCGTAATATGTCTAGCATTAAAATCTCCCATGTATATTGTCCCATGATTGTCTAGGTCTGGGAACAATGTTACATTGAGTTTCTGGCTTCTGGCATATACGTTGAGGAATGAAAAGTGGCCTGCTGTAGTTTGTACATGAAAGTGATGGTACTGTGTGTGTACATTGTGTGACGTACTCACAAGAATGTGTGGTAAATCACTTCTGACGTATGTTAATAGGCCTGTGGCGTTACTGTTATTATAGGATGCATACCCTCTGATCTTTGGTGGGGTTTTGTTTATCATATTGGACGTGTAGGGCTCCTGTAAAGCAAGTATATCTATGTTGTTACTGGTAACATATGCAATTAGTTCATTCAGTCTTTTGTTGATGCTACAAATGTTCCAACTGAGAAACCTAATGGTTCTTGTGTCAACAGCGGCCATCGTCTTGGTGTTGTTCCTCCCTGGGACTGGTGGTCCCAGTGTTGTCCTTGTCCCCCTTACACAATGTTTCAATAAGTGCCTCTACCACGTAAAGAGCCACACCAACCTGGCGTTTGGTATCGTCAGGAACATCTGGTGACATAATCAGTTTCTTGATCACTGAGCAACTCGGGATGGTCCGCGAGTGAATGTTGTCTGTAAGTCGTATGGCATAATTACTGTCACTCAGAGTATTATCTTTTCATTCTCGTACTTGGCTTGAGCGCGTTCCTTAAGGTCATGAATCATTTTAAAATATGCTGACGCAGGTCGACTTCCTTTTCCAGTTAATGTTTCTGTGTCACTATCACTGCTGTCATCCCTGAGTTGACTGACGACGTCGCTGCCACCGCCTCCGTTGTCGCTCTCATCTCTGTTGTCGCCGCTGCTGTCGCCGCTGTTGTCGCCGCTGCCGCCGCCGCTGCCGCCGTCACCACCACCACAGGAACCTTTACCAGCGCAGGCCACGGCTGTGACACAGCAGCATGGAGGCTGCTGTATCTCTTGTGAAGGAGCCTGACGTAGCGTCCGTATAATTTCAGTCAGTTCTGCTACCTGTGCTTGCAAGGTTGCCAACTGTCCATTAACTGTTGTATCAGGCTGTTGTGTGTTGTCAGGGGCGTTGCTGGTGAAAGGGGTGAAAGGTGACAATACCAGCAGCACTAGCCCATGTATCTACTAACTCATTAGCAACCTTTCTTGGATCTGAGTGAGCTATGAATTTGGTCTTACAACCCCCGATTTTAGGGTTCTTAGTATTACTAATGAACTGAGCCAGGTTTTGCCAGTATCTGTCCCGCACCTCCTTCCTCACCTGACTGCATTCCCTAGGCATTTCCAACAGTGTATTTTTCTCTTCATCCCTCATTCCATTTTGTTACCATTTTTTGTGTGCACTCCGTAGCATTCTCTCCCATCCCTTAACTTACTGATCATTGGAATATTTAAATTTCTTAGGTCATGCATCTTGCTTCCCCTGCCCCCGTTATTTTACCTCTGTACTAATTTCTCTATGTTCTCGGCCATTTCCTCGTAAAAGCTATCAACGCAGAGCGGCGTGTATTGTTGATACTAATCTCCCATATTCTGAGTAAAATATTTTTTTTCTTTATTATTATTTAGTCTTTTCCTTTGAAAGTGGACTTGTTTTTTCTCCAGTGGCAATTCAACGTTCAAAGCAAAGAGGTCACGAAGTAGATCCCGAATAATCCGAGTCTCCCTATAATCCCCTGAGAGTTTAAAATGCAGGCATAGTCAAGCCGTTCTCTCCTGATGTGAGTTGGTGCATTGTTTCCCAAGAGACAGGTATCTGGATGATCTTATGGAAACTGTAACCACTTGACCTCATTAGTATTAATACTACCCACTGTCCCAAGGCTTGTGTGCCGAGCATTGAGGTCCCCAACGACCATTGAAGGATTAGTATATATGCAGTCAGGTAGATAGTGAGAGTCGAAGCAGTTCCTGAATACTTACAAATTAATTACAATAAATTCCCATTCCCTTAATGATAATTTAACACAGACACTCTCTATACCTTGCGTTTTTGACGGTGGTTCTACTAATTCGGTTGGTATGGTGTTCTTAACATAACTCGACGTTCCTCTTATGTTACTTGCGGCGAAAAGGTGAAACCCTTCATAGCAATTTAATTTCAATAAGACTTCATTCCTATCCCCTGTCTCCTGGAGAGCTACAACATCAATATAATTTCCCATCACATAACAATGAACATCTGTAACCCTGTTTCTTAAACCATTAACATTCCATGACAACATTTTCAGTCTAGGGCGATCTATTATTAAACAATTCACTTTCATATCATCCCCAAAAAGTTCATTAAATGATAGCAATATTTTGAATAATATTTCCAACCTCCTCCCAATTTTACTCGCAAAAGCAACATTGATTTTCTCGAGAGATTTTTTCAGTCCCTTATGTCCATTATTGGCACAACTGATTCCTTCATTGTATGTTTAATTATAGATTTCTTCCTTTCACTACGACTACCATCATTTACACACACTTCACTTTCCTTCATTTTATCACTCATTGTTTCATTATTGTCCGCAAGCACTATTTCCTTCCCTGTTTTGTGACTTTCCTTTACCTTCACCTGAATGTTTAATTTTGCCTCATTAGACTCGATTTTCTGCCCAAGATTTCGGAGGAACTCACAAACTTTCCTCATTTCAGCCCACACCTCCTTGACCATACCATTATGGCCATCTTCCTGAGCCACAGTAACCACTTCTCTCACCATTACACTGTCACTGCCGAAGTCCTGAGTGTTGGTGTGACTGCTTGTTGCTTGAGCCTGACGAAGTAAAGGTGACTTCTTTACCCACGCATTCGACCGACTCACTGGCGCTGTTTGGTGCTGGCTTTTCTACTGTGCTCCCGGTGTCTGGGTAAGAGCTCTTGCCTGCTCTGTAACATTCACCGGCCGGGGAACATCCATACTCGACCTCTTGCTACACACAGCCGAGCTGGCGTTGTGAACACCTCCACATTTGCAGCATCTGGTAACTATTTTCTCATCCAGCTTAAGTTTGTTTCTACACACATTAGAAAGGTGAGACTTTCCGCAGAAACGACATCGTGGATCATGTTAACAGCTCCAGGATTTATGTCCCCATCTGCAGCATTTCAGACATATTATGTGCTGTTCCACATACTTTGCTACATGCCTGTAGCCAGCTCTGGTGATGAACACTCTCTGGGAAACTGGGGAACTGGGGAACTAAGATGTAAGATTTTGGAACAGCTGCATGTAGGCCATAATGGCATGAATGCTTTGAAAGCAGAAGCTAGAAGTTGGGTTTGGTGTCCAAAAATGGACCAGAATATTGCTGAAGTAACTAATTACTTACACATTTCCTTTAAGAAATATCAGAAATCCTAAGCCCTAGTACTTTCCTGGCCATGCACTGGGAAACCCCTGGTCTAGACTTCATATATATTATGTTGGAACTATGGATAATAAATATTTCCTGGTGGTGGTGGATTCATACACAAAATTTCTGGATGTTCATGTGTGTAATTCCACCACATCATCTGTAACTTGTGAACTGCTAAGGAAAACATTTTGTAATTTTAGATTGCCAGATTTGGTGGTGTCAGGTACTGCTCTTTATTTTGTTTCTGGGGAAATGGAGATTTTTTTTAAACAATTGTATTAAACATGTAACACATGCCCAGTATAATTGTTTTTGAAATGGTCTGGTTGGGAGAGCTGTGAGATCCTTGAAAGAAGGGTTAAAGCGGTTTACAGAAGGTACTATTAATACAAAGCTTTGTAGATTTTTGTATAATCAAAGAAAAACTGTTCATTCTACCACTGGTAAATCTCCTTCTGAATTACAGTTTAATTGACACTTTAAAGTGCACATAGAAGTAGTAAAGACTTTCCTGATAAAGAGAACTTGGTAAATAGCTTGGCCAATCAGTTGGCTCAGGGAGAGGATTGTTGTTTAACGAGGGGGATGCGGTATATGCAAGGAATTTTGGAATTGGTAAGCCTTGGGTAGAAGGAAAAATTAGGGAAGTCTTGGGCCACAGGAATTTCACAGTGCAAGTGCAGAGGTTTGGGGACATTAATTGGAAAAGACATGCAGATCAACTCATGCCAAGGTTCACAGGGAATTTAATAAACTTTTCAGATGGGGGTGGGGCAACTAGTGATACCCATCCTAATAACGAAGGGGCAGCCCTTGTTGGAGACAGGGAAGCAGATCAAGGGGCAGCAGAGGGTATGGGGATACAGTTAACCCTATGGACTCTACAGTTAGAAATTCAGAAGAAGGTTCCCCAGAAGTAACAGGTCTGAAGCCCCAGTTGACAAAATCAGGAAAGGTCATACGACCGCCTGATAGACTTAACCTGTAGGGGTAGAGTATAATTAAAAGGGGAGGAATGTTAGGATTATGTATTTTGTAGGATTAAGTACTACAGAGGTTAGGCATAGCATGTTTTGAGATGATACTCTTTTGTTTATAAGCATTGCAAATAGTAAGTTATGTAACGTATACCTGTGACGTCATTGCTTGTTGTTATTACAATAAAGCATGAAGGGAGCACGTTTATTTCTCTTCCGGACTAAACGTAACATTTACCATTAGAGAGGTGAGACTAACGCTGGCAAAACATGTGTCATTCAATGAAGATGATGCTAAAAAAATTTAAAACAAGTCTATTATAAGCTAATTTAACCATAAAGTTACAGAAATATACATGCAACCAACCAGTTTTATATTTTACATTTTTATTTCATGCCGACTAATTGATGCTTGTTACTATTAGCTGAGCGACCAGCCGGTGTTCCTTAACCCTATTGTTTACAAATATAGCAACTTGTAAATGTTGCTATTTGCTATCTACTTACCGGCAAATAGTTGCAACATCAGTTCCTTTACTGGTTCTTCTGTCTCACTGATGGGGTCGTCACTTGGCTGTGAGGTCGTGTCACTTGGCTGCGATGTGGTGTTTGTTGAGGACCCATTGACAGGAAGGAGGAGATCAATTGCTGTTTTATCTGACAAGAAAATTCTGTCTCACTACACATTCTGAATAATATTACCAAAATTGTAAAATTCAAGTTTCAAATTTTATAATATCATATGTAATATTATATGTTAAAAATAATTGTAGATCAAAATGCATGTTATCAATGATTTACAGATTACCATATGAAAATTACCAATCTCTTTGTTACCCAACAGTTTGGTGAATAAACCATGGAACCATACCCTTACATTTCTATATGATTTTGCTCATTGCTGAAGATAAGAATTTAAAATATAAGTTATATTAAGAAGTAGTATTGGGTGCCCTGGCTGCTAATATGTGTAATCTATATAAATAAAAATGGAAATGTTAGTTTGTTCAAAATCGCTAATCTCCGAAAGTTCTTCACCGATTGCTTTGAAATTTTCACACGACGTTCCATTCGCATCCGAGCAGATTTTTATATACATACTTTATAGATGTCACGTCTGTGACGGTAAATAACATGCTTTTTTTTTTAAAAACTGTGTTTTTCATATGAGGAAAATCTTCGAAACCTCTTTACCGACTGCTTTGAAATTTTTACACGTTGCATTCGAATAAGCACTTCTTTTTATATATCTTCTATATACATGCCTCACCTGTGAGAGGAAAAAACATGTTTTTTTTAAACAGTGCCATCTGTTGGATGTAAGAGCAACACACGCTTTTTTTTTTCTTTTTTTTCTTTTTAGCAGGGATAATCCTGCGCGGGCCCTAAGCCTCTGGCTGGCCCACTAAGTGATGCTTGTTTCTGTTTTACTTGGGCGGAGGATGAGTATTTATGACTCGGATGGTCGCTTCAGTAAGATTTTGCCACATGTGAGTAACAACTTCCTCTGCTCTGTTGAATCTAAGTTGAAATCTTAACGGGATTGTAACTGTGCACTGTGTTAGATAATGTTCCAGTGGTCTGTCGGGCATTTCTCCACAGTGTTGACATTTCCTCTCATCTTCCGGAACCTGTAAGCCTATTTCCCATGCACATGGGTATCCAAGCCTGATGCGATGTAAGTGCACTTCTGTTGTTCTACTGCCCCCTTTCATCAAACTAAGTGGTTCGTAGTTGGTTGAATTCTTGTACCAACCCGCAGATCCCGATGTTGCAACTGCTGTGGTGTGGTCACCGTACATCATTCGCATTGCTCTGTTTCGAATTACTTTCTTCATCTGGGATAGACTCTGTGGTATGTAAATGTCTACATTTCTCCTCGTAGTAGCAAGTTTTGCAGCTTCGTCTGCAATGTCATTACCTATTAGTCCCACATGACTTGGCACCCAGTTGATAAGTACCCGTCGGCCTTGTCGTTTGAGTGTGTGCATGAAAGATAAGACATTTGTGATCAGATGGATGTTATCACATATGTGTTCTTGTTGCAAGGTTTCAATGGCGGTTCTCGAATCTGTATGGATGATAACATGTTGTCGGTGTTCAGCAAGAGCATGTTCCAAAGCCTTTTGAATGGCTAGCATCTCTGTTTGTAAAGTCGAACACCCATTTGAGAGCCTCCAACTATATACAGAGTTTCCTGCTTTAACTGCAGCTCCGGTTTCTTGTCCCTGCTGGTCTACTGACCCATCCGTGAAGTAAGTGAAGCTGTCGGATGCCATGTTTGCTTCTATATGCATCTGTGCAATGTTACGTAGCAGATGAGGATGTGTCTGGTTCTTCTTTCCTTCAAGAGCCATAATTCGAAAGTCTGCTGGCAGAGATTCCCAAGGGGCTTGTATAACAAAGTCTGCATGTATGTCGTCGACACCCCTCTCAGTGACTGTGTTTGCCATATCGAACGTATTGATGGTGTTTATCGCATAATGGGTCCACCTGTTGCCATTGGAGGCTCTTCTGTCCAGAGTTAGTGCCCCAGTGATTATATCTTTAAGTGAACTGAGTCTAGGTCTAGTCAATATCTTGGTCAGCATGCACGCAGCAATCCCCTTTACCCTTATTTCAATCGACGTTAGCTTTGTTTAAAGTCTTAGGTTCAGTATTTTAGTCCATCTGGGAGCACCTGTTATGATTCGCAATGCATCATTTTGAAGAACCTCAACGTTTGCCCACTGACCAGGAGAAAGAGTGAGTAAGGCAGGCGCTGCATAATCAACCAGGGAACGAACGGCGTGTATGTAAAACATTCTCAACACTCTGTGACCCGCTCCTAGACGGGGCCCTGTGATTGCTCTCATTATATTTATTCGTGACTTTGCTCTCTCCTTTAGATATTGAATTTGCTTATTGAATGTCATTTTAAAATCAATCCACACTCCGAGATATCGATATTGTGTAACCCACTGAAGGTTAATGTCTTGAATGCGTAGGTGCCTGTCTGGAGTGTTGCCACCTAGTCTCATCGCCTTAGACTTCTGTGCAGATATTTTTAGCCCTAAAACACTGCATTCAGATGTCACTTTATCTAAAGCACCTTGAGCTTTAGTTAGAAGTGAAGGACCCGTAATGACTAATGCTATATCATCAGCATAGCTTAGCAATTGAACCCCTTCTGTAAAGGACATGGTAACAAGGTTTTCCATAAGGATGTTAAAAAGACTAGGACTGAGGACTCCTCCTTGCAGAGTCCCATTCTCGTGCAAGTGGTAGTCCGACACTTGTCCTTGCAACTTTACTCTGGCATACCTGTGACTTAGGTAATCTTGAATCCATGCTAGCATTTTCCCCTTCACACCTTTTTTAACTAAGGTGTGTAGTATTGCTTGCGGGCTTGCAAGTTCAAACGCTTTTTCGAGATCAAGGAAGACCACTATAGCTGGACCCGAGTTAACTGTTCCTAGTAATGTTGCTATGCAATTTGCAGTACCTACTCCTCTAGTGAAGCCAAATATGTGTTTATGAAGGTCTCCAGTCTTCCACAGTAGCCTATTTAAGACCATCCGTTCTGCAGTTTTACTAATGCATGATGTTAATGAAATGGGTCTGTAATTGCCAGGTTCTTTCGGCTTAGGAATCGGTATGATGTCTTCTTTCTTCCAAGAGGGCGGTAGTTTGCCTTGCTGCCAAGACGCATTGATGACGTCCAATATCCCTCGTTCTCCAGCAGGACCTGCATGTGCGATCATTGAGTATGTAATGTTATCAGCACCTGGTGCAGTGTCCTTACCACCTTTTTTGGCTCTGCTTAGTTCCTGTTCGGTGAAGGGACAGTCACATTCGTCATTTATAGCTATGCCCTCATGAATGACTGTCATCCTCTCTTGTTTTAAGTGTTCTTGCTGCCTTCGGACCATTGCAGGAAGCTGATATGAAGCTGTTCTTTCTGCAAATTGGAGAGCAAGTCTCTCAGCCTCCTGCAATGGTTGAATACATGCCTGTGGCCGGGCTGGTCGACCTGACATAGTTTTAATCTGACCCCATATCTTGCCAAGACTACTATGTTCATTTAGAGTTTGACACCACTCAAACCATCTTGCCTCCTTTACTTCTCTAGAAACTAGTCTTGCTTCAGATATCACCGCTCGTAGCAGAGTTCTTCCTTCTGGCGTGGGGTTTCTCTTTAGATGTTTTCTGAAGATGTTGACTCTGTGGTTCTGTTCTTTAACTTCATTACTATAGAACCAATAGTTCCTTCGTTTTGTGTTACCTGTGATAATGATTGGAATAGCTTTGTGTGCAGCAGCTGCAACGGCTTCCTGCAGATTGGTCTCGTGTATGTTCAAATCCTCAGGTGGCGTGTACGTTGCATACCATTTTTCAAGTTCTTCTTGGTATACATTCCAATTGGCCTTTCCTAAATTCCACCGAGGCTGCGCAGGTGGTGGAGGAGGTCGTGCCAGGTTTAGTGTCGTGACAGTAGCATAGTGGTCACTGGTGATCACCGGGTCTACTTCCCACGTCGCCTGTTGCTGGAGTGCTGTTGAGATGAATGTAAGATCAAGGGAACCACCTAGAATGTGAGTGGGTTCCCCAGTGTTGAGAAGTGTAATTTCAGGTACTTCTCGCAGAGCTGCAGCTAAATGGCGCCCATCTGCATTGGCTGGCCCAGTTGCACCTAACTCTGGATGATGAGCATTAAAATCTCCAGCAATAATTACATTTTCCTGCGTGGCCAAGGCAAGCACTGCCTCTGCTTCTAGTTTACGTCTAGGGGATTGTAGACGTTGTATATGAGGAGCTCAAAATTAGCCATAGTCACTGTAACTGCTAATACCTCTACTCCATCCCCACATGAAACTGAGTCTATTTTCTTGCTGGGTATGGTGTTTCTGACTAGGGTCATTAATCCTCTTCGTCTCCCCCGCTCATACGGTAGAACATAGTGCTGATATCCAGCTAATCTGAAGGATTTCGTGGCTGGGAAAAGAGTTTCTTCCAAAACGATTATATCTGCTTTCGTGCTGATTGCAGCCTCCTGAAGTGTGTGTTTTTTATTTCCAAGACCTTGTACGTTCCACTGCATAGTGCGTAATGGCCAGACGACGGGTTCGGTTGGTGTTGCTTGTTCTTCTAGAACTCCTTTTCGGAATCGACCTCTATATTCTCCGCCTCGCAAGTCGTATCGCTGCAAATCGGACTGCATTGATAGTTCGTGGTCATCCCCGACGTTGTTGGAATCTGTGTATAACCGTGGTCCATCACTTTGTTGTTGGTATTGCTGCAAGTCGGACTGCATTGAATGCTCGTGGCCGTTTCCTGTGTTGGTGGAACCTGTGCATCTCTGCTGTTCAATACGTCTTTATTGGCGTTGCTGCATATCAGACTGCATTGGCTGTTGTCTGTCTCCTGTGTTGGAAGATTCTGTTGATCGTGGGAGGTCACTGCTTCTTGCAGTTGCGTTTGTGAATGTTGATGTTCCGGTGTCTTGACTATCCGACTGTTGTTGGTAGTCAGTATGTCCAAGTTGCGTTGTTTGTCCTCTAGTGCTCCATCCTGTCGGAGACTGTCTATTTCTCGCGTAACTGGGGCCTGCTGCACGATCTTGTCCATTATCACACAAGTGATGTCTTGAGTCTGTTGCTGTGAGGCGTTCTGCATCA